GCCAGCAATAATTCTCAAAGCTAGTTCTGCCGGACCCCAAACTCCATGCTCTTACGTATCACTGTGCTGTACCAGTACACTTGCCCTACCAGGCATCCAAACTGTTGAAGGGAAGAATCATGCATGCCCAAAGGCCACCAAGTAGCAACTGTTTCTTATGAAGTTTTATTGGAACCCAGCTATGCCCACCTGTTGCCTGCAGCTGCTTTTGTGCTACAATGGCAAAATGGGGGAGCTGCCACTGAGACCACATGGCTTGTGTTTGCCAACTGACCCTTTACAGAAAGCTTGACGGCCCCAGCTCAATGCCATCTTTCTTCACCCATTGCCCTGACCTGGGTGCTGGCACTGGGCCTCAGAGCAGTTGTGCCCCCACTTGTGTCTTGGACTTCAATGCGGCTCGAGAGGACCCCAAAACACTGGGACACTTCCTGGTAACAGATCTTCCTGAAGAACAAGAATGGAACAGTGCCAGTCAGCAAGTGGGAAGCACCCTCCAGCACCTCCCAGACCACCGCTCTCTGCAGCTCTGCTACCCCTCCCTCACCTGGGAGACTCATAGAGAGGAACGGTGCGGATGTGCAGTTTCTGAATCTCATCGATGGTACCAATGGTGAGGGTGCTGTTGTTGGCCAGTGCCAGGCTGGAAAGAAGGGTCTGGGTTTAGACTGAGGAGACTCAAGGAAGGGAAGGATTCTAGAAACAACTCCATAAAGGGAAGAAAAACAAGGCAGAATTACACCAGTTTAAATTTAAATAGTTCTCAACTCGGAATCTATGCTAAAAATCACCTGGGGAATCTTATAAGAATTTTGATGCCTCGCCCCACCTACATGATATTCTCATATAACTGCTCAGGGCAGCCTAGTCTGACTTTTTTTTTTTTTTCCAGAGTTACTTTATTTAACTTTATTTATTTCAGTTTGACCAGAGAAGGACAGAGTGAAAAAGTGAGAAAGCAAGCCTCCAGGTCCGGGACTCAAACCATGGTCCGCCATATGGGAGTCCAGCACCCTTAACCACCACGCCACCTGCCGGCCCCTAGTCTGACATTTTTGACAGTTCTCCATATAATGGTAATATGGGAACCAGCAGGTGGTGTAATGGCTATGTTGCTGGACTCCCATGTAGTCGACTGCAGTTTGAGTCCTGGACCTAGTAGCTTAAAACTCACACGTGCGTGACCCAGATCCTGAGAGGAGAATGGAGGAGAAGGGATTTCAGCACAGCCATCCCCGCGGGGGGGTGATTTCTCGCTTTCTGTCTGTCTCTTTCTGGCATACATGCACCCTACAGTAAAAACCTCCCCCCCCACAAAAAAAAGGGGGGGGGGGACAATGCGCAGTCAAGATTAAGGGAAAAAAGTATCACTGCTCTATCACTGCGATTCTCATACTATGTGCTGAGTCAGCTGGAAGGCTTAAAAGGCATGGGAACCAGCAGTTAGCGTAATGGCTATGTCGCTGGACTCCCACGTAGTCGACCACGGTTCGTGTCCCAGACCCGGTGGCTTAAAACTCACGCCGGGCGCGTGTGCGTGCGTGCCCAAGATCCCGAGAGGAGAATGGAGGAGAAGAGACTGCGGCGTGACCATCCCCCCTGGGGGGTGATTTCTCGCTTTCTGTCTCTATGTCTCTCTCTGTCTGTCTGGCGAGCGCACGCGCCCTATAGCAAAAACCTCTCCAAAAAAAAAAAGGCAGTCTGTGGGTCGGGCAGGTGGTGTGTTAAAGACAGCTGACTGAGGTTCGATTCTCGTACCTGGCAACTTGCTTTCTCACTTTCCTTCTCTCTACCCAACTTCAAAATAAATAAATTAATTAAATAATGACAATGAATAATATTAAATAAAAATTAATTCTAAAAAAACAAAGGGCAGTCTGTAGGGACCAATGCTGATAATTTGCATTTCTTTTTTCTTTTTTAGTATTTTAATCAACTTTACTTACTTATTTTAATTTGATGGGGGGGGGGACAGTGGGAGAGAAAGCAAGCTGCTAGGTCTAGGACTCGAACTGCAATTGGTCATGTGGGAGTCTAGTGTTCTTTTTTATTTTTATTTTTTTGCTATAGGGTGTATGCGCTCACCAGAAAGAGAGAAATCACCCCCCAGGGAGGATGGCCATACTGCAATCCCTTCTCCTCCATTCTCCTCTCAGGATCTTGGGTACGCATGCACACGCGCCTAGACTCATGAGGTCCGGGACTCAAACCGCGGTCAACTTACATGGGAGTCCAGTGACATAGCCATTACGCCAACTGCTGGTCCCTCTAGTGTTCTTCTAGCCACCATGTACCTGTGGCCCTGAGAATCTGCATTTCTAACAATCTTCCTAGTCATTCTGCTAAATGAGGCCTCCCCTTTGAGAACCCTGCTCTAGGGGAATACACGATGACCTCTAAATCAGGGGATTGGAAACTTGACTAATAATCTGGATAACCTGGGAAGTTCTCTCAAACTTTAGATTATAGAGCCCATCCTCAGACTCACTGACTCAGAAATCGAAGACTCTGGGCCCTGCTGGGTAGTTAAGACTGGATACGCACAAGGCCAGAGTCCCAGACCTGGTAGCTTGCTTTCTCACTTCCCCACTCTCTCTTCCTGTCTTTCTTTCTGGTAACTATACAAATTAAAATAATAATTAATAAAAATTAAATAAATAATTATTTTTAAAGGGAAGGAAAAAAAGAAATATGAAGATTCAAAAAACTCTCTAAATTCAGGCCAGCCCATGGCATGGTGGTTAAAGAGGCTGGTTCTCACATGGCCAACTATGCAGTTCAAACCCCGAATCCAGTGGCCAAAAAACACACTAGGCAGGTGTGCATGTATGCCCCAAATCCCAAAAGGATAGAGAAATGGGGAACAAGGAATTGCGGCATGAGCACTCCCCATGAGGATGCTCGCTCGCTCGCTCGCTCTCTCTCTCTCTCTCTCTCTCTCTCCCCCCCTCCATCTCACTCTCCGAAATATTAAGAAAAAAAATGAAAGTACTTTTTAAAAGTTTCTCAGGTGTTTCTAATGTGCAGCCACATGGAGAATTTCTACTCTATATTTCCCATTCCGGCTATTTACTGATTTTGACACTGGTTTAAAAAAAATAAATAAAAAAAAGACGAGGGCATGCGAAGGAGGTTTGAAAACAACATGATGGTGCTCTCAGTCAAGGGCCCTTGATGAAGACAAGAAAGAGGCTCACCTATCCGGATAGCCATCAGAGTTGAGGGGACACATGTAGTTCACCTCCTTGAGGTTGACATTGGAGAAGACCAATTTGTGGTTGCTGCTGTAGATGACAGTGGGGCGGTCAGAGCAAGCAAAGACGTTGGTGGTAGAAAGAGAACGGAAAGTCCTCAATACCGTGGGCTGGGTGCCCAAAGTCACCTTCTTACGGTCGCTCAACAAGCCTACAGAGAGAACGGCATCAGGAGAAAGGAGGAAGGAAAGCAAACGGACAAGCGGCAGGATCACGAGGGTTCAAAAGCAACACACAACACAGCTCCCGCATGCTGTTTCTGAAAACCCCTCACTCAAGGGGCTGCTCTCACCTGTCTCGATGTTGAGCCCGAAGTAGAAAAGTGCCCCATCTCCCAAGGCACAGAGGAGGTAGTGGCTGCTCTCAAAGGTGGTCATCAGGATGGAGCGAGGAATGATCTCTGCAGAAAAAGGGGACACTGAGTTCTGGTTCCACATTCAGAACTGATCCCAATCCAGGTCCCTAAATGATCCCTACCTCCACCCAGCATCTCCTTGTGCAGCAGTTCAAAAGATGGCAGCTTCAAGATCCGTGCTGAGATGTCCGTCCAGAGGCCGATGGCACAAAGAGGGGACAGCCCACTGCTGTCCCCTAATGGGGTGATGTCTAAGCAGGCCACTTCATGTTCCATCTCTGTGTGGCTAAACAAAGAGGAATATGGCAGAGGAAGGAATCCAAGGACCAAAGAAATCCCAAAGAGCAGGGGAAGAAAATAAGCAGACAGGGCAATGCACACACCTGATCTGTCGGAGCTCCTGAGGATGGATCTGCAGGTAGTAGAGGGCCCTTCCCACGGCTACCACTACCTGGCTACTGTTGCAGGAAGCCACACTGATGTTCTTGCCCTGAGGCTCCTTCCATTCACTAACTAGAGCTTTAGGTTCTTGAGAGACCAACCTCACAGATGCTGAAGTGATCTAGAAAAAGAAGAGAAGATGTCTCCAAACACCTGTAGGGATCTGCACAGTAGTGAGAAGGTACAAAGTGCTGCTTGTTACAGCCCTAACATCAAGCAACATAAGGCCTGTCCTGCTGTTTATGTTTTTCTTCCAAAGTCCTGCAACTATAGTTACAACATTTTTAGATGAAGCACTGAAAGAGACTAGCTTACAGTTTACACAACTACAGCTAAGGACGGGGGGAAAAGATCTGTACCTTCCCAACTGAGGCCTGCTTAGTAACAGAAACTACATCCTGTGGAAAGGTATCAAAGGAGCAAGACCCTATGACCATCAGTCTAATAATTTTTCTCAACCCCCAAGTCAGACCTATAAAATACCTCTTTTGGGAGGGGGTGGTAGAGGTTTCTGCCTTAGGGCATGTGCCCTCTCCAGAGAGACGGTGATAGGGAAATTGAGAAAGAAATGCCTCAATCCCTTCTCCTCCCGGGATCTTGGGCACACACTCACACATGCTCGGCGTTGAGTTTTAAGCAACCAGGTCCAGGGCTCTAACAGTGGTTGGCCATCTGGGAGCCCAGCGACATAACAATATGCAATCTGCTGGCCCTACCCTATAAAATACCTTACATTCTTGGGCCAGTAGGTGGCACAGTGGTTATAGCAAATGGCTGACCATGATTTGAGTCCCAGCCCTGGCAACCTGATAATCACTCTGGGCATGTGTTGCGTGTGTGCCCAAGATCCCAGGAGAAAGGAACAGAAAGGGATGGTGGCGAGGCGAGGCCATCCCCCCCCCGGCGGGGGGTGATTTCTTATTTTCCTTCTGTCTCTGTCTCTCTCTCAGGCAAGCACACATGTTCTAAGACAAAAATCTCAACAACGACAACAACAACAAAACAACAGAGAGAGCGAGGAGAGAAATATGCCGAATGCATGTGCATGTGTGCCTGAATTCTCAAAGGGAAGGAGAAATGAAGAAGGGACTGCAGTGTGACCATAAATGGGGATCACTTTCCCACTTTCCCCTTCTCTGTCTGTCTCCAACAAGGGTATACACCCTCTGGCAAATTAAAATCCAAGTTCTTTTACCATGCATGAGCCATTAAACTTACTTAAAGTGCTTTAGTAAAGGCTGTAAAATTGTATTGAAGTATGCCTTATAAATTTCTTTTACCACTAAAAGAAAAAGTAGGTTGATGATATTCTTATCTATTGATTCATCTTACCTATTGTGATTGAGTTTACATTTAAGGATGAAAGCTCTTTAATAATAGATAGGTGAGCTGGTGCCAGTCTTCAGGCCAATAGTTAGATAACACTGACAAAGCAGTGACTCAGTATCTGGGCACGTCCCACATTTGGTCCACAAACTGACAACTTTCCCTCCAGTTTTTACCAATCTACCACTGCCAGCTGGATAAAAGGAAAACCAGATGGATAAAAACATGGAAACATTTAATTAATTCTCAAATAACTGAGTGCCCTACCCACTGGCCACAGAGCGGAACAATTCAGAAGGAGGATGTGCAGAAATCTGAGGGTGTCAGGGTCACTCTAAACTTCAAATGACTGCTAAGGTGGGAGGGAGCTCAAAATCAGGCTCTTACGGATAACGAACACCAAAAATTTTAAAATAAGGATGAGCGTAGAATAAGAGCTCTGGTTATAATTACTATGCAAAAAGGGTTGCCAACAGTCATATAACGGATGGTAGCATTATGACTGAGTTGTTTCCTTCTTGGCAATTTTTGCTGTTTTCCAAATTTTTTTTTGTTGTTTTTTTGTTTTGTTTTGTTTTGTTTGTTTTCCAAATTTCTATAGGTAAGTATGTATCACTATTAAAATGAAGGGAAGTGTCGGCAGGTGGTGTGGTGGTTAAGGTGCTGGACTCCCACATGGCCGACCATGGTCTGAGTCTTGGATCTGGTGGCTTGCTCTCTCTCTGTCTCTCTTTCTCTCATCAAATTAAAAATAATAAATAAAAATAAATATTTTTTAAAAATAAAATTAAAATAAAATAAAATGAAGGGGAAACCTTTGAGTGCCTCAGAAGACATACTTACTGCTAATACAGGACCCCAAATTTTATATATATAATATATACATACACACACATACACACACACACACACACACACACACAATGATGCCAGTCTGTCGAAGAAATAATCATACATTCATCTGCAGAGAAAACATAAAGTTAGAAGAAGCAACCCCTAAGAGAAGAGTTGTTGCCTTTGAGTACTGGTTATCAGGTCATTTTAATTTTTTTGTCCTACAGTTTCTACATTATTTTCAGAGTCACAAAAAGCAGTTTAAAATCAGTGGTGCCCTGTACAGCACTCTAGGTCCCATTTGAGCAAATGGTAAAGCCTGCCCCTTCCACAGCCATCACCTGGATAAGTTGCTGATGAGCCACGTTGCCGCAGAAGAAAGTCTGCTGATCATCCACGAAACCCATCAGTTCGGTTTCTTCCACCTCCTCTCCGTTCAACATCAGAACTCTGCAAGAGAATGGATGACCGGGGTTGGCCCAGGACCAACTTTCCCCGCCCACAACCTTCACACCAGCACCTGGAGCTGGCACCAGACCCATTCTTACCTGGTTTGGCCCACAAAAGAAAGCACCAAAGTGTCATCTGTCTCACGGTTAGGGTCAGATCGCAGCGGCCATAAGCCTAGAACAAGGACCAAGGAGTATGATGCGCATCACACAAACCAACACTTGGGGAGCATGTCTAGCAAAGGACAGCCCTGCACCATGGGAGGAAGAGCAGGGATTGTGTGTCAGAGTCCTGAGCAGACTCCACTGTCTCCTTCCTGGCTCGAAGACTCTCAAGGAGTCAGACTTTTAACAACTTTTTTTTTGAGTGGGGAGAGACTTTTGCTATGAGGCATGTGTGCTCACTGGAGAGACAAAAAGAAAACAAAAATCACCCCCCAAGGCCAATGGCCATGCCACAATCCCCTCTCCTCCATTTTCCTCTTGGGATCTTGGGTGCACGTGCACATGCGTCCAGCGTGAGTTTCAAGCCACCAGATCTGGAATTCAAACCACGGTCAGTCATGTGGAGTCCAGCGCTTTAACCACAACGCCACCTGATGGTCCTTAAACAACTATTTTGAGCTTATGATTTAAATGGGGTTTTTTTTTACTAGATAATACATTTCCATATATTTTGACTCAGTAAAAATTCCTTTTTTCTTGTTTTTTCTAATTTTTATGTGGTCTCTTTTCAATCATAGTCTCACTATGCCATAATCCTCTTGCTTTATAGGTGGTGGGATTACATGCATCTGGTTTTTTAGGATAGACCAGGAACAGACCCCAGGACTCCTATATGGCTTCAGCCTGTTGAGCAGTAGCATCCAGTGCACACTTCAAATGTCTGGGTCCAAAATTCATTTTTAAATATACACACAGGACCAGCAGATGGTGTAATGGTTATGCCACTGGACTCTCACATGGCTGATCACATTTCGAATCCCAGACCTGTTGGCTTGAAGCATGCTGGGCGAATGTGTGTGTGTGTGTGTGTGTGTGTGTGTGTATGCTCAAAATCCCAAGAGGAGAAGGGATTGTGGCGTGGCCATCTACCCTAGGGTGTGATTTCTCACTTTCTATCTGTCTCTCTTTGTCTCTCCAGTGAGCGCAAGCGCCCTACAGCAAAAATCTCTCTAAAAAAAGAAAAAGCACACACAGAAGTCTCACTCACTCACCCTTTTCCAATCCATCTCAAATAGGTAAACAGTAAGAATTTTATATATATTTTATTTCAGGAAATAAGATAAGCACTGTATTACAAGCAAATAGAAATATAAAATAACCTATCACACTGTCCTATGCCTTGATTTTTCATACAGCAATACACACTGAAGCCTTTATCAAAACGATGTTTCCTGGGACCAGCAGTTAGCGTAATGGCTATGTCACTGGACTCCCACGTAGTCGACCGCGGTTCGAGTCCCGGACCCGGTGGCTTAAACTCACGCCGGGCGCATGTACGTGCGTGCCCAAGATCCCGAGAGGAGAATGGAGGAGAAGGGATTGCGGCGTGGCCATCCCCCCTGGGGGGTGATTTCCTGCTTTCTATCTCTCTGTCTCTCTCTGTCTGTCTGGCGAGCGCACGCGCCCTATAGCAAAAACCTCTCAAAAAAAAAAAAAAAAAAAAAAAAAGATGTTTCCTCATTTTCTGTACCTCCATGGCATTCAATACTCTGAATATACCAGCTTATGAACAAGTCCCCACTAATAGACACCTTTTCAGTATTTTGCTTAAGCTCGTATGGGGGAGACTTCAAAAGTTCATGGAAAAATAGAATTATAGTATGGATTTATTCTGATATAGAACATTTTAAAATTCATAGTTTATTTATAACACACATTTTCTATGAGCTCTTTGAAGATCTGTCTTATTTTTGTTATTTTACACATATAAAAGTCTGTAGGGCATAAGCTCAGAACTGTGATTACTGGAGGATCAGTCCTGTAACACAGTGGTTAAAGCAGCCATACCCACATGCATGACCACAGTTCAAATCCTGGCCTTGACAGCTTGAGAATCACAAGGTCTGTGTTTATGGTCAAAATCCTGGTTGGGAAGGGAGAATGGAGGAAACATTAGGGAGCATAATCATGACCCACTGAGGGTGCTTTCTCTCTTTCTCTCTCTTGAGTGCACACATCCTCAATTTAAAAAACCCAAAAACGAAAAAATAAATCGGAATTACTGCATAATCCCTAAATCTAGCTTTCATATCGCTGGATTCCCTTCTATGGTCAGTGCACAGGTGTGTGTCTTACCACACAGCCTCACTAACATAATCTGTTGTCGAACTTGTGGATTTTGTTCTACTGGTAAAATGCTACTGCTGTTTGGTTTAGATCTGTATTTCTCTTATCACAAAGGCCTGTCACCTGTCCACTTCTAAAAATTTGTTATAGGAAGACCAGGATTTTATAAGATAAATTACAAATATTTTTCTCTAGTTTCTCATTTCTTCTGACTAGTTAGTAGGTTTTGGTTTTGGTTTTTTGATATGCATACATATTTTATTTTCATGTAGTTGAATTTACTTTAATTTACTTTACTTTGACCAGAGAGAGAGAGAGAGTGGGAAAGTGAGAAAGCAAGCCACCAGGTCTGGAACTCGATCCGTCCTTGGCCACATGGGATTGTCCAGCGCCTTAATCACCACACTACCTATTGGTCCCTGTAGTTTAATTTATTAATCTTTTTGACCTATATACTTTAACTCATAGTTTAAAAACCTTCCCTACTCCAAAATTATAAACGAATTCACTAACTTTTTCTTTTAGCTTTGACATGGCTTCATTTTTTACATTAAATCTCTGATCCATTTATATTCTAGCAATACGGACCAAACTTACCTTTTCCTAAATAACTAGTAGTTATCCCAATAACAGTTATTTAAAAGTCTCATCTTTTGGAACCAGCAGATAGTATAATGGTTACATCACTGGACTCCCACATGGTCAATCGTGGTTTCAGTCTGGGACCCGGCAGCTTGAAACTCAAGCAGAGCAAGAGTGCATGTGTGCCCAAAATCCTGGATGGAAAATGAAGGAAAAGGAATTGCCGCATGGCCATCCCTTTATTTCTTGCTTTCTGTCTCTCTCTCTTCTGAGAATAGCAAAAAATCTCTTTTAAAAAAAAAGTCTTGGTGGCCAGCAGTTAGTGTAATGGCTATGTTGCTGGACTTCCATGTATCCAACTGCAGTTCGAGTCCTGAACCCAGTGGCTTAAACTCACGCCAGGCATGTGTGCGTGTGTGCCCAAGATCCCTAGAGGAGAATGGAGGAGAAGGGATTGCGGCATGGCCATCCCCCCTGGAGAGTGATTTCTCGCTGTCTGTCTGTGCT